GTACATGTACCAACTCCCCATAACGAATGTAAACATCATGTATTGCAAGCATGTATTAATAAATAAAAAAGTATATACACTAAAAACAAGATATGGTTAACATTTATGAAAAAGAATTATAGGTCATCAGAAATGATAGCAAAAATTTTAGCTCTGACAGATACATCTGTATTCAGATTAAATGTGGATACAGAGATTATAGTAATTTCTTAATAAAAGTTGCATTACACATTCTGTCATTTCCTGAGTTAGCAAATGTATTTCACTTAAAATCTGGAAGGCTGAGCACTTTTATCTAGTAGATGTGGGTGAGTGATTTCCTAACCCACTATTTGATTGCCTTTGATTCTGGAAAATATTTCTTCGTATCATTTTGCATCCTTTCAGTGTTTTAAGTATGCCAATAGTATATCAAAGTGTATCTCCAGTTTGTGAGGTAAAGTTTCAACTACTGGGGAGTCAAACTGAAGGAGACCCAGCTACTTATATTGCAGTTCTGTTGTATCAAGATTCCCTATGGCTGGGGATTTACCTCAGTGGGGTTGCACCTGCCTTGCAAGTGCAAGGTTCTGAGTTCAATCCCCCATACCAACAACAACAACAACAACAAAAAGATTCCCTAAACTCTTAGCATTAAAATTATGATAGTTTAGCTAAGATTCAAGCTGCCTTAAATACTGATTACTGAAGTCTAGTACTTAAGTGAGTCCCTTGAGGTCATAGAAATAATCAGCAAATTTATCAGCATTGTCAAGGCCATGAAGGAATAGTTCTTTTGTTTTGTTTTGTTTTTTAAGACAGGGTCTTGCTATGTTGCCCAGGGAAGCCTCCAACTCAGGAAAATCCTCCTGCCTCAGCTGAGTGCTGGGATTATGAGGGTGTACCATGATGCCCGACAGGAATAGTTTTATGTACTCCCTCATTTAAAATATCTGTGTGAATGCCTTTTCCTTTAACAGCCAGTGCATTTTCATATGAGAAAGCAGACACTAATGACTACTGACCCTACTGCATGTTGAAAAGACAAATGACCAGTTTGATACCAAAATCTAGGGATGCTCAAGCTCCTTTTATAAAATGGCATAGCGTTTGCATATAACCTATATACATCTCCCTGTGTGCTTTAAATCATCTATAGATTACTTATAATGTTGAGTTCGATATAAATAGTTGTTATACTAAAGTGATTTAAAATTGATTTAAGGATTAATGACAAGAAAAAAATCTGTGCATTTAGTATTGGCACAATTTCTTTTTTTTTCTTTTTATTGAGTTTATTGGTACAATCTAGGTATACAATACAATTACATTCATCATTGGGATTCTGTACCTTTACATAATAGGGCTTGATTCTCATTTTTTCCCCTTGTCCCTGCCCTCCCTTCACCCCCTCCTCCCCTTCCCATTTACAAACACTTTATTTCCATTTTTTCAGTTTCTCATATTTTTTTCCTCTCCCTTATTACCTTTTCCCCCACCCTTCCCACTTTCCCTACACCTTTAGCCCTTTACTTCCTATTTCACATTATTAATTATCTCATTAGGATCCTGTGTACTATTATAGTTTTTCACACCAAAGAAACTATTCGGTATTTCAGTTCAAGAAATCTCTGTATGAACATTAAAAATAGGGAATCCTAAAATAAAACTAAAAAGGAAAGTAAAAGAGAAAAGGCAATGATGTAACATCAAAATAATCCTTAATTCTGGAGATGAAAATGGTCCCTGAACATATTTAAATTGCTTCTCGCTCTTATAGTCTTATCTTATTCTTTTTTTCATTATTTAGAGAATACTTCATTAGTTGCTGTAATCAAACCCACGTACATATGACCTTACATATTTAATACAATGTGTTACCCCTGTACACATGGAAACAAAATAAAAAATAAAAATAAATTAACATTTCTAGATCAATATGGTTGTCCATTTCTGTACAATGCCAAGTCAAC